TTCGATTAATGCAACCTGTTTTGAAGCGACCTCCCTATAAATAGATCTTTTCAACAAAGTAATTAAATAACCGGAACAAAAACATGAAAAGAGATTAATGAATTTCAGGACTACGCGAAAAGGATCAAGAGGTAGTCGTAGTCGTTGTCTGACAAAATTTTCTAGCGAAAGTGAATCGCTCCAATTTTAGTTCTATAGAAAGCAAGGTGAAGAACAAGAGGAGTTCGAGAACGTTAGTGCTGTTGTTCGACCTGCGGCCACAAAGATGAGAAAGGCGAAATTGAGGTAAAAACTCGGCGATTTGTGTTCAGTCCAAGTTCAGCAGAGAAATACGATGTTGTAGTAAGCTTGAAAGAACTTTACTTATCACACAACCTTTAGATAGATTAATCTAATACGTGTACCTCTGTTAACATTCAAATTGATTATCTCCATTCCATCAATCTTTTAGATGGAAAAAATCCGAACCATTGGAAACTTCAGCACGTGGTGTCGAAAAAGGAGAGAATCCTTTCGCAGAGGGGTATGAATAACAATAAAGAAAACTACAAATTTTTCTTAAAAATATTCTTTTCAAAGTTATCTGCGCATTGCAGAAGTACAGAAATGGAAGAAGCCGTAACAGAGAAACAATCACAAGAACGCGTAGCTGAAATTATGCGTAGGGTAACAACGCTTTCAGATGTTCCTATCTAGAATTCTAACAGCTTTTAATTTTCTCATTTAGGCTGGAATTTTGACTAAAGAGGATGTAGATAGGGTCCGAGTGAGTTGCACGGTTACTATATCACAAACAGCAAGTAGTACAAGGGGATCATTAAAGAGTGAACTTATGTTGTAGGCAGCCAACGCATCAATGACAGATGTGCAGATCCTCATTATTCGTATACGAGAACTTGAGCTGGCCAATCGTAAGGCAAAGTTACAAATGAAACGGATGAGAAAAGTGCTAAGAGAGAAAGAAAAGGTAAATTATGCATGATTTTTTAAAACGATGGGGTCTTAAGTGAGAAATCTAGTATTGATGTTGTTTAGATCTTATGTTAGAGGAGGCCTCTCTTGCTAAACCTCGACAGATAACTAAAGATACACCTATTTCACAATCAGAGCACATTTTTGTTACTATATGTTACATCC